CTCTCGTGCTCTCTCTCTCTTTCATTCTCTCTCTCAAATAAATAAATAAAATATTAAATAAATAAATAAAAATTAAAAATGGATTAAATTATTATAAAATTTGTTTGGAACAAATGTATGAAGAATAGCCAAAATTTTTTTTATTTTTATTTTATGGAAAAATAGTATTAAGAGGGAATTTACCCCAAAAGTTGTAAGCCCTAGTTTTAAGCTACCGTAACTAAAATAACAAGTAACAGAGAAGAAAAAGCTCCAGAAACAGACCCACGTGAACGTGGGAATTGAGTATATGACAAAAGATAGCATGTTAAATTATCTTAAAAAGATTATTTAATTAAGACAAATTAATTTAATTTGAGACAACGGATTCATGATTTGGAAAAAGAGAAAAAGGAAAAAGCTAGATCCCTACCTCATATCTTTTTTTTTTTAAGATTTTATTTATTTATTTGACAAGAGAGAGACACAGTGAGAGAGGGAACACAAGCAGGGGGAGTGGGTAAGGGAGAAGCAGACTTCCTGCGGAGCAGGGAGCCCGATGCAGGGCTCGATCCCAGGACCCTGGGATCATGACCCGAGCCAAAGGCAGATGCTTAACAACTGAGTCACCCAGGCGCCCTGTCCCTACCTCATATCTTACACAAAAGTAAATTGTAAATGATTAAAGAATAATTTTTTAAAATATATTATAATATTTGATGAAAGCATAAGTAAATATTGTCATAATGTCAGGATGAGGAAGAGCTTTCTATACCAGAGCAAGAAACCATAACTTTAAAAATCCTGAGATTCAAATATGTAAGTATTTATATTTCTGAATGCAAAAATGCCATAATCAAAGCTAAAAGACCGATGACAAACATATTCTCTGCAAACATTAAAAAATATCACAGGTTAAATTATAAAGAGCTCTTCCAAATCAATAAAAAAAGATGAATTCTCCAACAGAAAAAGAAATCTGTCTTTGTCCCAAAGACTGTGACTAGCCAGTTTTCTAAACATGGCTGATAGGTTACAAAGGAGTGTTTTATCACATTAGTAATCAAAGATATTCAAGTTAAAATGGGATTTTTTTTAGACAATTACATTTAAAAATTTTAAATACAGGAGCCCTATGGATAAGGATATGGGGGAGGTAGAAAACACACTGGCAGGATCTTTGTGGAAGGATATTTGGCAATATTTATCAAAGATCTTAGAAAGGTCCACATTGTAGCCTGCAGGAGAAATCCAGAGACAAGTGCACGAAGATACACACAGGGATGAGGTTGGCCACTGCAGTACTCTGCATGGTTATAAAACCTTGAGAGCCGGCGTAGCGTCCAACGGTAAGGGCTAGCGCCATAATTATTGGACTCT